ATTATTTTTAGCTATGTGACCTTGAGCAAGTTATTCATCTATGCTAAGTTCAGTATTCGCATCTGAAAAATAGGGAAGAGATAAAGTAATTCATATAAAATTCTAAGTTCGAGGCAGAGCAAAGTGGCTTCTGCTCAGAAGTATATTATTGTTATTGTTCAGTGAGAAATAAAGCTAATTAATTGTGAAAGGGCCATATTTTGGAAGGCTTGGATTTTAAAAGTTAAAATCTGTTTAATTTGATGTGCTTAGAATTAGGAAGATCTGAAAAGCTTTGTGAGCTTGAGGAAAATACAATTTTTTCAAAGACTGAGGGAGGGCAAATTAGACAGGAAAGGCTGTGGTCAGGAGGAAAAACAAAACAAAACAAAACAAAACAAAACAAACTTTATTGTAGTTATCCAGTACAAAACAGATTGTCTGGATTCAAAGCCCAGCTATGTCATTGACTAAGTGTCTAACTTTGGAAAATATCTTAATTTCTCTAAGCCTCAGTGAGGCTTTTTTTAAGATGTTGTATTTATTAGGCAGTTTTAGGTTCATAGCAAAATTGAGAAGGTACAGAGGTTTCCTATAGTCCATCTCCCCCTACATATGCGTGGTCTCCATATACAACCATACAACCCCCATCAGAGTGGTACATCTGTTACAATTGATGAACCTACATTGACACATCATTATCAACCAAACTCGATAGTTTACATTATGGTTCACCCTGAGTGTTGTATATTTATGGGTTTGGACAAATGCTTACACATATCTGTAATCATACAGAGTATTTCCACTGCCCTAAAAATCCTCTGTGCTTTGTCCATTCATCCCCTCCACTCCCCCAACACCCCTGGCAACCATTCATTTTTTTACTGTCTCTATAATTTCTATTTTTCCAGGACATCATATATTTGGAATCATATAGCATGTAACCTTTTTCAGATTGGCTTCTTTCACTTAGTAATATGCATTTAGGGTGTCTCCATGTTTCTTTCTGGCTTGATAGCTCATTTCTTTTTAGCCTGGACAATATTCCATTGTCTGCATGAGTTACAGTTTATTTATCCCTGCACCTACTGAAGGGCATCTTGATCACTTCCAAGTTTTAGCAGTTATGAGGGAAACTGCTGTAAACATCGTGTGCAGAGTTTTGTTTGGTCATAGTTTTCAACTTCTTTGGGTAAATATCATGGAATGAGATTGCTGGATTGTATGGTAAGTGTGTTTAGTTTTGTTTAGCAAGATTTTAGTAATGTGTTACAGGGTTTTATTAGGATTAATGAGGTAATCAATATAAACTGCCTGGCAGAGTACCTGGCGTATTGTAATGGCTCAATCAATGTTAATTACCTTTACTGTTATTATGTAGGAAAAGTTGATTTAAAAATTCAGTCATGTTGACAGTATGGATGGAGAAGTAGGTACAGAAGAGAGAAATGTCAGATAAAAAGTGTAAAAACACTTGATGATTGGCTTCATGATATTACCTCCTAGATATGCAGAGATGTGTAGGATGTGCTGGTCTAACATTGTTGCTCTGTGTGAAAGGAGGACCTCACCTCCTAGTTCCCCACACTCTCTTTGGAGTAATTAAGAAAGATCATATAAGGTAATTATAAGTAATGGTTATTTAATTCTCTAGGTAAGGAAAAAGAGAATTGCTAACTGCACTCCACATCTGAACCATATAAACCTGACGAACAGCTAGGGTCAAATGGTACAGGGGAAAGGCATTAGACACACAGTCTGGAGAACTGTGTTCACAGCATAACTCACTCTTGATGTGCTGTAAGCTTCGTGAACTTGGACTTAAATCTTAGTAATTCAGTTTCCTCAGCCATAAAGTTGGAATGAGGTTCCTTCACTAGTTATTTAGAGAGCAAAATGAGATAATGAGTGTGAAAATAGTGCCTGAGATTTTCTAGAATGTTAATAATGTGAGGCTAATCTTAATACATGCAATCACTAAATAGCTTGCTCAGAATCAGTGCCATAATGATAAAAAAATATATGAAGTCATCTGTCACCAATGACGTCTTGGCTAGTTTTGAATACATGATTGTTTCAGTGCACTTATGGATTTATATTTTCTTTTATATGCTAATTATAAAAGCATACTTCTCTATTATAGAGAGTTCTGATTACAAATACATAGCAGGAACCAAAAAACAAAATTCACTTATAATTTTCTACCTGGAGATATGTAATGTTAAAATTCCAAAATATTTCCTTTCTGTAGATAGCAAGCTAAATATCTACAAAGATAAACCAGATTATGTGCTTTGTTTAAAAATGGCATGATGTTAAATGTACAGGTTTGATATATGTTTTGTCTTAAAATATTCATGTGTATAGGATTACTTTCAAATACCTATGTTAGTAATATACAATGCAGAGTCTTTGTTACTTTCTTCTTTTCTGCATGAAGACTATGCAGTTTATATGAAGATGTCATTTTTTGTGGAAGTGTTTATTGTTCTCTGCTTGTTGCTTATTTCCATTCTCCACTTATTTAATATATTCAGAAAATATCAACATTTAAGCAAGAAGCAATCAGAGAAGAAAACATTTATCTGTAATGCCAGCCAAACGTAACAGTGAACTCTTTCATCTTGATTCTAAGCTCTAAGTCTACTCTGAGGTCTTTGAAGTACCACTTGGGTTGAAGCCACTCAGAGAAATTCAGCAAAATAAGTGGCTTGAAGCAAACAAAAATAAAAAACTCTAAACCTCCCCCAGCTTTGCATAATCATCATACTCATTTACTTTTTGCTAAGTTTGCCTTTGTGGAGATTAGGTTAACCAAACCTGTCTCCTCATTTTTGTTTTTCTTTTTGATCATCCGAGAGTGCTTTCTCAGCCTGAAGCCAAGTTGTCCCAAATACTTAACATATTTGACAATTTTTTTATTTTTTAGCATCAATGTTTATTACTGAGACTCACTCTAAAGAAATTGATGATGACATGGATCTGTTTGCTATTTTTCAATATTATTTTAAAATGTTTCTAAGTTAGAGTAACAGAATAGTTGAATTAACTGTCTTGATCTTCTTCTTAAGCAGTCATTTTGTCTTAACACTCTGCCTAATGGTAAAAACACCCACATTATATAATCTCTGATCCCATTTTGGAGAAGGGAGCCATGAAAGATAATTCCAAAATATCATTTGTCACATGGAAAAAGGGTTACTCCAGAACACATTACCCATTTTTATTAATTGAAAATAAATACTAATTGAACACCACTATATCTTAGACACTGGGAGTATAGCAATGAAGTCAGATGAAGTCCAAGTTCACATAGAACTTACATATCAGAGGGAAAGACTGAGCAATGCATAAATTAGCAAGAGAATTTCAAATAAGTCATCCAGTCTTAGATACATTTATTATTTTGTAAGATTTAGGGGCATTCTCTTTCTTCATTGTATCAAATAAGTAATTTTTTTTAAATCATGAGATATGATTTTATTTGGGAAAATTATTTGAGGAACTGTACACAATATACTGTTATTCTCAGGAACCTTAGAAATGTATTGGAAACATACCATACCTTTTGACCCAAACTATGAAGTGGGTTTCTCATAATGAAATTGGTTTAAGTGAATGCGAAGCAACATTTCAACACCTTTTTACCTACTGCTTTTCTCCTCCTATAGGACCATGATCATCTGAAGTTCAACCAGCCACAAATTCAAGGAACCCATCCTAGTTTTTGTTTATTCCTCTCATGATTAATCACCATTCAACTGGTGCCCTAAGCCAGGCATCTGCTGCTTCTCCTCCCTAATCAGTTCCTACTTCTTGTAAATTTGACCTCCCACATCCTCCAGGGTGCCTCTTCTTCTCCAGTTTCATCACCGTTGCCTTGCTCCATATCTTTACCATCTGCTGAATGGATTTTCCCAAAGGAAACCCTAATTCTGGTCTCATGTGTGCCTGTACCCCACCTCAATCCAGTTCACCCTCCATAACCAGTGTTTTTGGAGAACACACATTTTATCCTTTCATTTTGCTGCCTGATATTATTTAAAAGTTCCCATTGCCCACCAGATAAAATCTGAACTTCCTTAGGTGTGTCATGGAAGGTTCTCGCTATCTTCCCTTTATTTTTCTCATCTGCCCACCATCGTACTCTGTGCTCCAGCCATGTCAGATGGTTTCCTAGGAGGTTTCTGATCTTTCTCATCTCCTGGATTTTGTGCACACTATTTCCTCTGCTGAGGAAGTCTTTCATTCACACCTAACTACAGGGACAGCTACTATTAGACTTTAAAGTCTCAGCTTTAGTATCATCTTTTCAGACAATGCCACCCTGATAGCCTAGTCTAGGGGCTTTCTTTTTTGGGCTCCCCTAAAGAAACATGTATGTATTTCTATTTTATCCTGTACTGTTGGAATATACTATTTGTTCATAAATCTTGTCACTCTCATAGAACTGTGTAACTCCTAAAAGGCAGTGACTGTGATCTATTCATCTCTGTGTCTCCAATGATTGGTATAAAGTAAATTTCAGTGAAATATTTGTTAATTAATTAATAACATTAAATAAGTAAATATTTTAATCTCTCAATGGCATATTTTGTTTTGGATTGGTGTTGGGTTTTTTTTTTTGTGATCTCGTATACTCAATCTAAACATTCCTATAAAAGAATGAAAGTGTGCAATCCTTGGAGTTGTTCACAAAATTAGTCAAATTTAAATTATTCTGTATTATCATTATGCTATCATACTAGTGTTAAGTTCAATATGATGTATCTGATGCATTTTGAAATTATTTTGTATACTCATCTGAGCAGCATATTATAAAAATATGTATGTTAAATATCATGGACTAGCATTTTCTGAACATTGAAACCAAGTTAATTTAATAACAGCAATGTATAGTCAACTGGGTCATTTCATTCATTCTTTAAACTCAAATTTTATCATTTGAATTTTTTTCTTCCTACTGGGATACATTTTTTATATCAGGAATATGTCTTCAAATATTTTTATTCCCCTTTCAGGAATTTGCTGCACTGACAAAAGAACTAAATGCCTGTAGGGAACAACTTCTAGAAAAGGAAGAAGAAATTTCTGAACTTAAGGCTGAAAGAAACAACACAAGAGTAAGTATAAAACTGCCTCTTCTCAGAATTAATTCCATGTATGGTTGAGTGCCTCATCTCTAATATACTCGTAAAAATATGAGCCTTTCAAAACCTGAGGGAGACTTTAAGCAGACACCAACTCGTAGTCTGTTACTTAAAGTAAAGGAGAATATACTACAAAACAAAACAGGAAGACAGGAAACCTAAATTACAGTCTCTGCGACTAAATCACTACGTTGCCTTGGAAAATGTTGCTGTTCCTTCATTCTTTGCTTTATTCGACCTTAAAAAGAAGAGCTGGATTTCAGTAGTGCTTTTCAAACTGTTGTATCAGAATAGGTGGGCAGCACTTCAGAGGCTGATGTTGGATAATGGAGGAGGGCACTGGGTTTGAGAGGGAAGCATGAGTTTGATTGTGTGGTGCTATGAGGGCATGGCCTGGCATTCATCCTCACCTCACTCCAGCAAAATATTTTTTAAAAGGTGCTAAAAACCTAACCATCTGGAACAGGACCCTCCTAATTAAAAGAGGCATCCTTTTGTATTTTAGAAGGTCCTCAAGGAGATTTCCAGTTTTAATATTCCGATTTCATGAACCTGGTGGAATTTACAGTGTTCTGTTCTTGGAAACCCATGTATTTGTTCCATCTCATGACATGCTAAGTAACATTAAAATTTTAAATTTTCAGGGTGATGTTATAGCTCAGTGGTAGAGTACGTGCCTAGCATGCTTGAGGTCCTGGGTTCAATTCCCAGTACTTCAATTAAATAAATAAACCTAATTATCTACCCCCTCAAAAAAGTTTAAAATTTGACCAAAGATGATACATTTTCTTGCTCAGAAGAAAAAGTCATTAAATTTTATAAAATTTATAAATTGCCATGTTACCCATAAACTTAGAGAAGTTTCTTTACTCAAAGAACTTAGAGAAGAACTACTTTGGTGTGACTATATTTAATTTCAATACGAGGTAAGTGAAAATACTTCAAGTGTTAGAGCTCTGGCAGATTAATGCTGAGAAAATAAGGCACAGTTAATAGTGTATTCATTTTATGCTTGATCTTAGAGAGGAATACAAAAATGACAGATCCACCAACAGTGAGCTTGTGCCTCTAATGAGAGGTACCATTCCATGCCTGAGAGCTATATGATCAAACTCAGTATATCTCCCTATTCTTCAGGCTCTTATTTTATGGTAAAGGGAATTCACATGGTGTGCACATAGAAATTGATTTTCATTGAGACTGGTGAGCCAGTCACATGGACTGTCTCAAATGAGACGTAACAAAGATAGTTTAGATCACGTTATCAGGTGACAAATTAATTTTTCTGTTTTTTCTCTCCCTCTCTATATTTTTCCCATCTTTGATTTTTAAATTACACTTTTTTTCACGCAAATTTAAAGTTTTTCTGCCATGAGATTTATTCTACCGTATTTCACTATTTCCTATTTTAATGTTTTAGGCGGCATTCCCTGATAAACCTCAGTGCAGCCAAATGTAGGAATAGAAACAGGAAGCTAAAAATGGAGGGAAATGCAAATATCTTGGTAGACTTCTAACTAATGTTCATATTTAAAAAGCACCAGAAGCTCTTTTATTAGCTGCGTATGCATTTCTCCTTTCTCCAGCCCTGCAAGGTAGATGTTATATTCCCCATTTTACAGATGAGACAGTTGAGCTCAGAAATGGCAGACCACTTACCAGAAGTCACACAGATTGTAAACAGCAGGAAGGGATTTGAAAGCTGAGTGGTCTAACTCCAGATCCTGTGCCCTGAGCCATGAGGCCATCAGCACAATTATTCAAAGTTAGATCCACGAAGAAACTCAAAGATTGACCACAGTTTAGGGGGAGCATTGCCTTCTAGTAGACCACTGTAGTGTGGATTATGTTACTCCTTGATTGTGACTAATTTCAGAGACTGGGAGATTTGGGGACAGCATCTACACAATTATCATCATATTACACCCCATGAAGCCAAGAAATACCTGTGGCTATTGCATCCGCAGAGAAGTTTTGGGTGATAAAGAGAGTAAGTCAAGCTACACTTGAAAGAAGTCAAAGTGAGAAAAATATAAATATTAAGTTCAATTTGGAGAACAGAAATTGAAGCCATTTATTTTAAACATAAATCATAATTACTTTGAAAACATAAATAAAGCTGGAAGACATTTTTTTTACCTTCCTTAATGCAGTGATGTAGAGAGTATTTATGGATGATATGTCAAGGAAAATAGATTTATGAAAACTTCCTTGTGCAAAGTATTGATTATATAACAACTTCCTAAATCATATAACCACCTCTCAACCTCCTGTACTACCCCCCTCAAACATATGCAGGGATGAAAATCAGATGATCATCTCTCTTCCCCCATAGTGTCCCATTAAATGTTGCTAAATAAAACAGTTTCTTATAGATTTATATAATAGTTTTTCCTACACATTGTGTTTTTCTTCTTGCTATAAACACCTACTTATTGGTTATAGAGAGCAACAAGCTAGCATTTCCTTCTGGCACCTAAAGAAAATTTGATTGGTGTCAGATTATGGGAAAGTTTAAGTCAGAATTGAGGGTCTCAATTTCCAGGATTCTGATAAACTTGTGACTCTCTCTTTCCATATTGAATAGTTTACATATGCTCATGAATTGAAATAAATAACATAGAAAAGACAGTTCACAAAGAGAATTCATGAGTGGTTGGAGTTTTTCATATTAATTTTGAGAATCATCAAAAACAACAGATCGGGAAGGTATGATATTTGAATGAATTATATCGACCCCTAAATAGAAAATCGATTTTTCAGAGGGGAATGAATTAATGAAGTTTATCTAATATGTCAAGTAATAATAATAATAATAACAACAACAACAATAATAATAACAAATAATACTAATAATATAGTAACACATTAATTGAATGTGAAATATCGTTCTAAATAAATGTTTTATATGTTTAACTTAGAATCTTCTTATAGCAATCCCATTTTCCCCATTTAACTGATGAGAAAACTAACATAGTAAGTAACTTGCCCCAGGCCACACAGTTTATGAGTGACACATCAGGGAATCCACCCACTGGCTTAACCACAGGCTATATATTTAAGAAATCACATCCCTATGTCATTCACAAGCCATATGTGATACAAGGGATTGTTTTAGGTAAGAGCAGAGTTTGTTCAGTTTCTGGTAATTCAGTCCCAATCTGCTCAGTGATTTATTTTGCATCAATTGTATGAAAAGTAATGTACTAGGTATTTATTCTGATGTAACAGGTAAAAGCTGTGACCACTTATCACTGATACTACAGATAAATCTGGTCCTTGGCCCAAAAATATAAGTGAATGAGAAAAACCAAAGTACTCACTAGAGTTGCTCTTAAATCCAACTGCTTCAAGTAATTAAGTTGAGGACATCCAAATAAAAGCATCCTGATGTTGTGATTGTGTGAAAAGTTCAAAAATTGTAGTGGGTATTTACGGAAACATTCAAACAAGTTTATTGTTTTATGTTTCCACACTGACAAAAAGTAGAAAAATGATGAAATAAAATTTGTTACTCTTAAACTTCTCTGATCATAGGTAGGCAAGTTAAACTTAAAATAGCATTCCTGAGATTATTTTAGCATATTCAAACTGACTGCTGAAATTTACCATGTTTTGGCAGAATTATCTGAATTAATGGAAAGGTAAAGGAAAACTAGAAATATTAATATAGTCATTATTTCTTGATATCAGAGTAGAGAAGTTCCATTGTTGTTTTGAAACTATTTCAACTGTTTCTGTGGCTGAAGATCTCAAAGGATTGTTTATATTATTAAGTGTTTTGGAATGCAACTGTCATATGACTTTGAAAAAGAAGTTACGGTTTCAAGAGCTAGTCTTAATGTCCGTTATAAACAGTAACACTGTAATTTCATCTCATGGGTCAACAATTTAAAAAGACTTAGTTATCTTTAGCTCAAATTAAAGACTGAACTTGCAACATTCCTTCCTATGCTCTTACTTTTGTTTTGAGCCAAAAGAGCCATGCCAAATAAATGTTCCAATACAATCAGACACCTGCCGTTAAGAAAAGCTTCCCATTCCTGACGAACCTCTGTTTATGCAAGTTAACAAAACCCCTCCAAACATATTTCCCCAATGAGTAGAAAGTACAATCCAGTTGAGAAAAGGAAGACCCTAGCAGTTGGAAGCAGATGAAGATACATGTGTGGGTGTGTGTGGGTTCATGTATCCATATTTATGTAAGTGCTATGATAGTATATGATGAATACAATATAAGAGTGAATAAGAAAGGACATATGGCTTCCAAACAGCTGTTTCAGTGTGAGACTCAAACACGCACATCAGATACATAGGGGACCTAACAATATTTGAGACTAGAGGTTGTTGAGTAGACTAATGATAAAAGCAACCTGTGGGAAGGTTTTCATTTTCAGATGTTAGTATTGTGTTATGTGACCATACTTCATAAGCTAAATTAGTTTACAGAGCAAAATGTACTTCTTGAATGCCATATGTGATTGAAAATAATTGCACACAGGGTTATATAGAGTTTAGATCTAATAGAAAGATGTATAGTTTTAGAAATTTAGTTGAAAAATTTCCAAGGAGGCAATATATGTATATATGCATATATGATATGATGTATTTGTGTGTATACACATATAATCTGTGATCATTTAAAGGGAATTCCAACATAGATTAATGGCCATTCACATAGTTCCTGCAATCCTTTGAGTAGTATATCAAAAATAGTGCCTTCTGCAAGATTTGTTAAACATGAGACTGAAGTTCGGCTCCCAAATAAGTTATACAGCTAGTAGATTGTAAGTGACATCTTAGATAAGTTCCTCTTTATTTTTCATTTGAAGCTTAAAAACCATAGATATATGCTAGATTAGAACATTTTTGGCCACATTCTCCGAGATAGATAATTTACAATCATTATTGCTTCCACTCAGCAAGGAAGTTCCAAGCATCTGTGATACAGAATATTTTCCTAGGCATTGAGG